TAGGGTTAGAGGTTAGGGTTAGAGGTTAGGGTTAGAGGTTAGGGTTAGAGGTTAGGGTTAGAGGTTAGGGTTAGAGGTTAGGGTTAGAGGTTAGGGTTGGTTAGGGTTAGAGGCCAGGGTTAGAGGTTAGGGCTAGAGGTTAGGGTTAGAGGTTAGGGTTAGAGGTTAGAGTTAGAGGTTAGAGTTAGAGGTTAGGCGTGTCAAAAATCCGCCGCGGGACCCCCCCTCCCCCCCTCAGACTCCCCTAACCACCACTTAGAACACGCCTCGCCCCTTTGCAGAGACTAACTTGGCTTTTGCAAAGGGGTCGGCGGATTTTACTAGGTCTGGTGATGGGGTTGGTTGGTTGGTTGGTTGGTTGGTTGGTTGGTTGGTTGGTTGGTTGGTTGGTTGGTTGGTTGGTTGGTTGGTTGGTTGGTTGGTTGGCTGGCCGCATCCCCGGCATCACCAACATCACTTGGAGCTGGGGTTGCCTATTGGCTCTGATTGGGGGGCAGTTGGGAGTTGCTGGGGGCTGGTTTAAGTTAGGGGGGTTTTGGCTGGCTTGGATCTTCATGAGGGTTCTTGGGGTGCTTTGGGATTGATTTAGGCGAAGCGGAGGGCTGATAGTCAGGCTGCTGTTGGGCAGGTTTAGGGTTGACTTTGAGTGGGTTTGGGGTGGCTTGGAGCTGATTTGTGTTAGGCGCGCTGCTGGTTTAGCAGCGGCTTTAGAGTTGCTTTAGGGTGTGGTTAAGAGAGTTTTGGTCGAGCTTAGGGTTGGTTTTGGAGCGGTGCCCCAAACCACCAAAACTCGACCAAAACTCTCTTAACCACACCCTAAAGCAACTCTAAAGCCGCTGCTAAACCAGCAGCGCGCCTAACACAAATCAGCTCCAAGCCACCCCAAGCCCACTCAACGTCAACACTAAACCCGCCCAACAGCAGCCTGAATATCAGCCCTCCACTTCGCCTAAATCAACCCCAAAACACCCAAGAACCCTCTATGAAGATCTAAGCCAGCCAAAACCCCCCTAACTTAAAGCAGCCCCCAGCAACTCCCAACTGCCCCCCAATCGGAGCCAATAGGCAACCCCAGGTCCAAGTGATGTTGGTGATGCCGGGGGTGTTGGCAGCTTTGCGGAAACCGGACCTAGTAAAAAACCGGACCTAGTAAAACAAAAAACACCTTTACCAACCTCTTCCACTGACACACCCAGTTTTGATACCCCAATTTCGTTGGTCCCGCCCGTTTTTGGCCCGGAGTCGCTGAGTCGAGGGGTACGACGGGTTTTTGGGGTTGGCCCTGCGCGGCTCCAAGGAGCATGATCCAAACCAGGAAAGTCGAAGGGTTCCGTGTGGATTTTCTGCTCGTGGGTCGGGGTCGATGGGTTTTTGGCCCTGCGCAGTCCCTGATCATGTCCAACCATCGAGGGGACCTGGACTGGCTGATCGGGCTTATGGCGCGGATGGGGCGGTTGGGAGGGAAATCGCCGTTGTTTCTTTGGGCGTTCAAGCAAGACCACTGGGGCTTCTGGAAGGAGTTTACTTAAGGAGCTGTGGTGAAAACACGTTGAAAGGAGTTGGCGCATCCGTGGTTTTGTCGATCAGATCTTTGACGCGCTTTGTTGGGGGGGGGGGGGATGGGGTTGTAAAAAATGGTGACGCCGTTTCAGATGGTGGGGCGGCTCGAGGCCGTGGTCGTCTAATTCCTGTTTTAGGAAGCCTGATGTCGGCGGGATTCAAGTTTCCTCATTTAGTGGCCCATTTGTTTCAGACAGGACCACCTCGCATCAAGCAACATGGCTGGTGTTGGGAAACACCGCCCAGCGCACACGAAAGCCACGTGAACGGGCGGTTTGCCGACCTCGGCTTTCGCCTTTTGACGTTTGGAATATGACACAAGTTTCCCAGCGACTGGCAAAAGTGGAGTTTTTCCTTCTTCTTCTTCTTCTTTTTATTTGGCGGGGGGAGGGGCCAACAACTTCCACACAGATTTTGTGTTTTTTTTTTGGGAGGCAACATTTTCCACAAGAAGGAGGAGGATTCACAAGTTTCCGCGTGTCCGTTGTGGGAAGCCGTGTCCGGTCACTGGCTGAAGACCAAGTCGTTCCGAAACAAACCAAATGGCAAGACTGGCCATCGATTTCGGCGGCTGGATATTGGTTTTGGGTAGTCCTGGATCTGTTTCTTGCACTCGTAGCATGTTTCGTGTACCTCTGGATTGAAGGCTTCGTGATGGCTCCCTCTATTTCCCTTGTTGGGGTTAAGGACTGACTTGGCGTGCGCTGCCCGATATCAAGACGCAGTTACAAGCTCCGTATGAGAGAAGCCCTTTTGCAGGCGACCTGAGTAATGTCGACCCAGGTTTAATCAACCCGTCCCATTATTCGGGGGGTGTTCCCTCCAAAAGTGAATCCCCACTAAAAGAATCGGGACACCCCTATTAACCAACCAGGGTTTATTCATCCGGCGTGAACATTATTCTAGAAGCTCGACATGGCAAACAGCTCCCTTTGAACTTATCTTTGAGCAAAAAGCCAAGAACAAAACGACAAGAGCTACTGACAGGGCTACTGACACTCGCCGCTTTGACCCCAAAGAAGGCGCCTTGGAGACCACCAGTCAAGATTGCGACCGGTCGGCTCAGTCGAGGGAGCCCCTCTGGTTGAAGGTGCTTCGATAGAGCTGACTTCCTGAGTTCATGAACTTTAAACTTTTTGGGAAGACCATTTTAGTGGTAAATATAAAGTTTAAACTTTTTTTGGGCCATCCACTCAGCAAGTAAGATAGGAACCTTGGCTGATCATTCAGACCACTTTTGGGGATTGTTGACTACCTGGTTGCTGATCATTCAGACCACTTTTGGGGATTGTTGACTACCTGGTTTAATGGGGGATTGTACAAAGGGCTATATAAGCTTTCGAAGAACCAACCGCCTATGGGTTTTGAATGGCCAGTTGGTTGGCTTGAAGCATCCAGCAAAGGGGATTCGATCCCATGTTTTGGGCATGTCCTCTTTTTGTTTTGTCCCCCCCCTTTTTTTTGAATGAGCCGTTGTGTCGCAACATCAGGAGTCAAGCCAAGGTGAGCTGTCCTTTGCTGTGATTTTCTCTCACTTTCTTTTCTGCATGTAAACCAAACGTTCGAAACGAGCAGGCAGAGGTTCGAGTGCTTCCCCTTGTCAATAAAGTAGAGAACCAACAACACCCTGTATTTAAACTGAGGTGTGTGCGTGTGCCTACTTGCATTATAAGGTTCTTTTGAGGGTACCCTTTCTGGGGGTTGTTTTCAAGGAAAACCAGGGAAACTCTAGGGGTACCTTCCCTATTCTTTCCAGGGATCCGATTCTTTTCAGGAAACCATCAAAAACCCAGGGGAAACAGCCGGTTTTTGAAAAGAACGATGGTTGAAAAGAATGCAAATCAACCCCTAGAGAAGCCTGTTGTGCATTATAAGGTTCTTTGAGGGTACCCTTTCATTTCTGGGGTTTGTTTTCAAGGAACACTAAGGGAAACCTGTTGTGCAGGACACCCCCTGTTCCGAGACAAACCCACGGGAAATCGTTCGTTGAGAACTGCTTGTTAGCCAGGTGGAGGACAATGGCGGGGGGCTAGGCGCGGCTCGCAGAAGACGCAAGAGACGCGCTTCAGACGGGGCACCGGGGCAGTCTCCAGCCCACAGGTGTCCTTGTTGGTTTGTTTGGTTGAAAAATAGAGGGCGATTCCTGGTTTACCTGGTGGTTCAATCATCTACCAGGGCCATCTATTTTCCCAAAAGGACACCTATGCTCCAGCCCCCTTTTTCGTGGCCACTGGAAGTGTGGCTTAGGGAGTCCTTGTGATGCAAGAACCACCCGGAATGGTCCCTCTTCCAATTTTGGGACACACGCACGCCAAGATGCGCCCAGTAAGTAGATTGGCTGATTCATTCCTGGCAATCGCTGCAAGCCTCTCAGTCTTTGGCTTCAGTATGATAAGAACTGCTGTCATGACTCTGTGTGATTGAGTGATGCGTTTTGCCAAAACGGAATCGACTGGCAACAATAGCAAATGTTTGTTGCGCGGATGCAAGTGGCTAGCAGCATCCAACTTCCAAGTCACGCCGCACTAAGAGGTTTTCCGCCACTAAGACGTACGTCATGAATAAAGCTCCCTTTTAGTTGGGGTAGGGACGCCATCGACCCCTATGAGGATTTTATGCAGCCATTCGGGTTCCTTTTTGCGTGCCAATGTTTTTTCGAGCCATGCGGGGTTCAACTTCTAGAAAAGGTCATTGGTTCCCCCTTGGTTTTTGTTCGGTTGGTTCCCCTCCATTTGTTTATTTTAGATTGTCCCTTGTTGGTTTTAAAGGCAAATGTTTTTTTCCTGGGGGCTTAACCAAATCGAAGCTTAAGAATATCTTCTTTTTTTGATTTTCCCTTGTTTGTTTTAAACGGAGTTCATCACTGCTGGAAATATTTAGATTTTTTCCAGGGGGCTTAACCAAATAGAAGCTTTGGTTTCCGGATGTTCGTTTGAGCCACAATCGAAGCCCGGGTAGATGATCCGGTTAGTAAGGGACAATCCCAATTATAAATAGCTGCAGATATCCGCCTTCTTAATTCTTGAAGCATGGTCCTGGGTAGACCAGCCTGAGAAGATCCCTTGAAGCGCTTGGACCAAGAGCTGAGAGTCTTGAAAGCAAAGCGCTTTGAGCCTTGCCTCAGGTTTTGATTCTGAGTTATCCGGGCCCCCTGTTTGTGGATGACCTCGCGAGCGAGGGCGCCCGAGCAAACTGCACCGGGTTTTGATTCTGTGTCATTTGGGCTTGCGTGTGTACCTGGAGTCTCCATGACCATTTAAAAATGGGGTCATTACCCAAAATAATGGTTGGTCCATGGGACCCTTTTTTAAAGGATCAGAAGGAGACTCCAGGTAGCTGCCCCGGGTGCGAGCGGCTCGAGGGAGCGGGCGCGAGCGCCTCAAATCCTTTTCGCGCTGTCGGCAGGTTGTTGCAAGGCCATCGTGAAGCGGGAGCTCATCTTCCTGCCCTTCTTCGGCTTCTCCTGGCCGAGTGGGATGAAAATACCGGGGGGGGGGGGGGGTGGGGTGAAAGGGCGGGGTGGGTAATTAGGTGGGAAGGGTGGGTAGGTGGGTAGGTGGGTAGGTGGGTAGGTAGGTGGGAAAATAATATTGCCCCCATATTGATCAACCCCAGCTTGTTAATAGGGGAATGCCCCTGCGTTTAGTGGTTGGAATCAGACCACTTTTGGAGGGGCCTCCGCCCTCCTATTAGGTTTACTGAAGTTGATTAATATGGGATCAACATTGCGGGGGTGAGGGTGGGTGGCTGGGTGGGTAGGTGGGTAGGTGGGTGGGGTGGGGGGTGGGTGGAAGGGTGGGTGGGGCTGGCTGGGTGGGGCTGGCTGGGTGGGTAGGTGGGCGGGTGGAAGGGTAGGTGGGAGGTGGAGTGGGTGATTGTTCACAAAAAAGGAATTTGGATGATAGGAGTTCTTTACTTTTTTGCAGGAAAGCCACAATGGGAATGAGCGTTTGTGAAAAAAGATAGGCACTTAGTTAGCTAAGTGGCCAGTACCCCCAGTTAACTCAGTTCGGAAGATCGCAGTGCTTAGCTATCCAAACCATTTGAGCACCCCCTTTTGGGATGGTGCCACACACAAAAAGCCATCGGGAAAGCATGGCTTTTGCTGAAGCCTAGAGACGGGCCAGGCACCAGGCACGTTGAGGGTTGGAAACAGGGGCGCGCTGCGATTTAGTTTGTCATGGCGGTTGGGGAGGGAGGGAGGGGGGAGGGATTCCAAATCAGCCCTTGCCCTTAACAAGGCCTTTTTTTGTTGTTGCTTATTTGGGCTCCCTCCCTTCCCTCCCCTCCCTCCCTCCCTCCCTCCCTCCCTCCCTCCCTCCCCCCAGCCTCCATATGAGTTTGTGGCTACCTCCTGGTCTGTTTCCGCCGCCTTCGGCTTGGGGTCTTTGAGTCCCAGGCGCCCTGCCTTGAAGTCAACGCACGCCACTGCTTGCGGCGTACACGACACGACATGGGCCAAAAAGAGGGGCCAAGCAGCTCAATGGTGCACTCAGAGAGAGAGAGAGAGAGAGAAACATTTCCCGGCGTGATCGTGAGGTAATTTGGGCTAGAGTGCCCCACAACCTCATTCTATTTTGTTCGGCCGTTGTACGCTGGTTTTGTTGGTCGGTCATGGTATGTGGCGAACGGCGAAAAAGACGCCAGTTTGGCCCATCACGAGCGTTAAATTAATCCCTTACTCGAAGAAGGGGAGAGTTGGGGCGTGAGAATGTAGACCAAACCAGGGACAAATCGCTTTGCTTTGGCTTTGGCAACCCCCGTTGAAAGCCGCGGCGTTTCTCTTCGAGAAGGAAGGTCCCTTGTGAATACGACTATGCCGTGATTCACCTGTTGGATGGCACCGACAAACCCAGGGTTCTACTTTTTCACTACTACCCCAACTAGGTCCCCCAATACTGCCCTTTTACCCTTTTTTGGTTGGGAGGGTTTCCCTAAAATAGACTACAGCACAAAAATCGGGTACCCTTATTCTAACTGCCAAAACTGGAGGACCTAGCCATCAAGCAACCCCTGCGTTTTGGTCTACCTGGGGGGATTTTCTGCCAGCGGCATGTTCAATGGGCAGCGTTAGGTGGGCGGCGGACTTCATTTGCATCAACAGGCGCGGGAGTTGTTCGCGGGGATGTGGATAAGGACCCCATCCTTGGCTTGTTTTTGGCTTCCCTGTAAAGTTGAAAGTGGGGTCCCGCCATTTTAGGACCCCATGTGCGATTCTAGGACCAAAGATTTGAGGTCAGGGGTTTGCCCATGTTCCCACATGAGGTCGGGAAGGACCTGGCATGGAGGTGTTGGAGACAAGACGCCAAAAGGTGCTCGCACGCGGGTTCGTGCATGAACATGTGCTAAGGAAGCAGCTGCAAACCAACTGGAGTCATTTGGCTGTGGGTCAAAACCAATTGGATCCCATTTTGGGGTAGGTGCACCACCCATTTTAGAACCTATTTTAGTGGGACTTGGGATGTTCACCGGGGGTACGATTTGGCTTTTGACCCATGGCCATTTTTCTGCTCACCCATTTCTCCTCTTTTTTTGGTGGCTGCCCCACTAAAAATGGCCTTCCCCAAAAAGGGTTCCCTGTTCTTTCCATGGTCACTGAACAACTGAGTCTGTGGGTGTGTCTTGATTTAGGCGAAAGCCAAAACGATCTGTTTCATCTTCGTTCCCCTTTGCTCGGTGGCTCTCAGCCCTTAGCTTGTTAACGTTTTAGGGTTTAGTGGGGGTGTTAGCTTGTTAGCCCATTTGACCCACGAGAAGTTAGACACTCGTAGCAGGGGAGCCGAAACCGGACTGCCCAGTTTGGGTTCACCTTTACAAGCCACCTGGAAAGCTGTATGGCCATTTTTCTTTGTGGCCCAAGCCGCATGGGCAAGAAAACAGTGTCACATAAGGGTGTCCAGGCATCCAAAAAGGGGGTCACACCTCCATGTCTTCGAGTCCCCGGCATCACCTGGAGAGTTTTCCAAGATAGCCCAGATATGGGGGGCTCATTTTTTTCGGAGGCTACCCTTGTTAGGTTGACTTCAAAGAGAAACCGCAGGGAAACCGTGTCACCCCCCCCCCCCATTTTGACGCAGCAGCAACCCACGTACCAGGCCTACATAAACCTGGAGTCTCCATGACCCGTTAAAAAATTGGGTCATTACCCAAACTAATGGGGTCATGGACCCATTTTTAAAGGGTCATGGAGACTCCAGGAACATATATGCGCGATGTTTGCCCGAAAGGCACGTGGTTTCTGCCCGAGGAGAGCAACCGGACCTGCGCCAGGAATTGGGAAGCAGCCCGGCAGCGCTTGGAAGCTGGCCGCTGGCCGGCACTTGGAGAGAACGAAGGAAACAGACAGAGAGAACAGTCTTCTGCTTCCTGTGAATAGCATGGATTTTGGATTTTCGGGATTCCCGTAGTCTTGTCCAGAGCCAGAAGAACAGTTAATCTTCCCCAGAAATAGTTCTCTTTTTTTAAACAAGTTTTTTGGGGTAGACGATGGGTGAATTTGGCGCCGGGCGATCGGGCGTGCAATGCGGCGGGTAGACGGGCGGGGCGGCGCGGGCGTGCAGATGGATGGATGGATGGATGGATGGATGGATGGATGGACGGATGGACGGATGGATGGATGGATGGAAGGAGTTGGGTCGCCAGGAGAAGGGAGAGAGAGCGAGAGAATGCGAGAGAGAGAGAGAGAGTGGGAGTGTGTGTGCGTATTAGACACAAAGACAATGACATGATGTGATGGAATGCTGACACCCTATTCCAAGCCCCACAAGCTTGTGTAGGAGGCATACATAGTGTGGCTTGCTGGAACACAGCTCGGTAGCACAGTATGAAGCACAACATTGAATGGCAATGGGCATGGCATGCTATGATTTTTTTTTGGCTTTCAGAGTCGTTCCATTTACGGCGATCCTTTCAGCTTTCTCAGAGCTCCCACACCCTGTTTCATTTTCCGAGACAGATATGCGCTTGCTTTCCAACACATGAGCCAACTTGTCTGCCCTACTGCAAGGGCGTGCAGGTCTGTGGCACACATTGTTGCTCTTGCGAGCATGTTGAATTGATACTGTAGGCTGTTTGGACACCAGCAGGAAAATAATGATCGGGTATGCCAGGGGGAGGCGATTCCCTCCAAAACAAAGACACTCCCTGATGAGTGACTGGGTGGTTGATGTGTCAGGGGTCTGTGTCAACCATGTCTGTTTTGGTGTTTTTCCCCAAACCCTGTATAAAGCTTGTCATGTTGGTTGGTCCAACGTTGGCTTCTGGTTTGGCTGGACAGGCCAGTTGAATGCCTAGTCATATAGCATCTATTTGAGCCGCATACTGCTTTTGCATGAGCTTCGCCCACAGCGCTTGGCAGTGTTATCAGGCGAGGGTGAGAGGGCATTTGTTCTTTCACGTTGACTGGAAGTGGCAATATGGGGGTGAAATTCCATTGGGACACTTTGGGGTTTTATGTGCGCCAGCCACTTTTGATGAGGTGGTTCTCTATTATGTATTTCACCCGGATTTGCACCTTCCGAAGGCGCGATGAAGGTGGATGTTCACTTACCCAGCGGAGAAGGTTGCTCCGTAGAAGTCTCACGGGAGACAACCATCAGCGAGCTGAGAGCTGCAGCTCAGCAGCATTTCCAGCGCCGCTTGAAGCTCACCGCGAACGGCCGGCAGCTTGATTTGACAGCCACACTGAGTGATGCCGGCGTGCAAGATGGGGATGCTGTGGCTGCGGTTGTTCAGCTTGGCAAACTGGCTGCCACTAAAAAAGCGTTCACTTGTTTTGAGCATGGGGTCAAGCCTGTGACTTGGGGCGTTCCAAATTCTGGCGGAGACAGCAGTCACGTGCAAGAGCAGCTGAGGAAGGTGCAGCACATCCAAGCAACTAATGGTGCTTTTGCAGCCATTCTTGAATCTGGGGCTGTTGTGACCTGGGGTGAGGCATCCTGGGGCGGAGACAGCAGCCAGGTGCAAGAGCAGCTGAGGAAGGTGCAGCACATCCAAGCAACTAATGGTGCTTTTGCAGCCATTCTTGAATCTGGGGCTGTTGTGACCTGGGGTGAGGCATCCTGGGGCGGAGACAGCAGGCAGGTGCAAGAGCAGCTGAGAAACGTTCAGCACATCCAAGCAACTGGGTATTGGCTTTATGGTGCTTTTGCTGCCATCCTTGAATCTGGGGCTGTTGTGACCTGGGGTGATCCAGAACACGGCGGAGACAGCAGCCAGGTGCAAGAGCAGCTGAGGAATGTCAAGCACATCCAAGCAACTGGTGCAGCGTTTGCTGCCATTCTTGAATCTGGGGATGTTGTGACGTGGGGTCATCCAAAATTCGGAGGAGACAGCAGCCAGGTGCACGAGCAGCTGAGGAACGTCCAGCACATCCAAGCAACTACATGTCTGGATGGTGGTGCTTTTGCTGCCATTCTTGAATCTGGGGATGTTGTGACGTGGGGTGATCCAAAATCCGGAGGAGACAGCAGCCAGGTGCACGAGCAGCTGAGGAACGTCCAGCACATCCAAGCAACTACATGTCTGGATGGTTGTGCTTTTGCTGCCATTCTTGAATCTGGGGATGTTGTGACGTGGGGTGATCCAAAATTCGGAGGAGACAGCAGCCAGGTGCACGAGCAGCTGAGGAACGTCCAGCACATACAAGCAACTACATGTCTGGTTGGTGGTTCTTTTGCTGCCATTCTTGAATCTGGGGATGTTGTGACGTGGGGTAATCCAAAATCCGGAGGAGACAGCAGCCAGGTGCACGAGCAGCTGAGGAACGTCCAGCACATCCAAGCAACTACATGTCTGGATGGTGGTGCTTTTGCTGCCATTCTTGAATCTGGGGATGTTGTGACGTGGGGTAATCCAAAATCCGGAGGAGACAGCAGCCAGGTGCAAGAGCAGCTCAGGAACGTCCAGCACATACAAGCAACCTGTGAGGCTTTTGCTGCCGTTCTTGAGTCTGGGGCCGTTGTGACCTGGGGTCATGCAGAGGTCGGAGGAGACAGCAGCCAGGTGCAAGAGCAGCTGAGAAACGCGTAGACAAAGGAGCCCGCTGCAATTCTTGAGGGGAAGCGCTCAAAACGCCCACGAGCAAGCGACGCATATCGTTTAACATGCTCGCTGACTGCCACGTCAGCTAAAACAAGGGTTTCGTAAGCAAAACAACACGCTCTGTTTCAGTTTTGCCGAGAAACGATCCTCCTGGAGTCTCCATGACCCATAATAAAAATGGAAGGGGTCATTACCCAAAATAATGGAAAGGGTCATGGACCCATTCTTATTTCGGATCAGAAGGAGACTCCAGGCTGAAACACCTGTCTACTTGGATCCTGTCTCTTGTTTCCCCCAGCCACAGGGTTGGCTGGGTTCAACCTCGAGACGAGGTTACAAGCGGCAGCACGACTATCGCAAGTCTGCCGCAGCCTTGGTTGCGCAAAACGGGAGTCCACAAATTTGTGTGATTGCCCTTTTGGAGCATGCGTGCGTGTGTGTGTGTGTGCATTTGCGTTTATAGGGTACTGTTGTTTTTGCTTTAAAGGAAGCCAAAAGGAACACTACAATGCTTGAGGGTACCAGCTTTGACACCCAACATCTTTCCATGCTTTCCAACATGAAACCGGGGTCCTAATCAGCCCATATGTTTGCACCAGGGCATTTGATTTGTTGCGTAGGGTTCCGTTTTGGGGATGGGTCCACCGGCACACTGCGCCGACACGCGGAGACATTCGGGTCGAAGTTGGAATTGGCCGATGTATGTCCTTGGGCTTGTCTCCTCCTGGAATCTGCATGACCCTTTAAAAATGGGGTCACTACCCAAAATACTGGGGTCATGGACCTATTTTTAAAGGATCAGAAGGAGACTCCAGGCTGCCGTTTTGTGTCGACCATCTTTTTGGCACATGCAGGAGCTACGCCAAGCCTGTCCCAAAAAGGCAGGGAACATCCTGTTCCCATCTCCACTGGGTGTTTCTGTCAGATGTCATGTTTATTTGGGTATCAATTCAGGAGACATTCAGATTCAGTCCCTACCAACCACAAAAAGTTCTCACCCTTTCAGAACTATGAACGTTTCTTCGGCCGTACTCTGAGCCACGGTAGCACCCGGTAGCATCTA